AAAAAAAAAAAAAAAAAAGGAGAAAGCAAAGTTGTTAACTGTCCTATCATGCTACATTGAACCTTTTAGAAAACTTGGCATAATTTTTTTTTCTTGTTATCATGTATCATAAATGCCAGTAATCTCCAGGATTAGCAACACAAAACTAAACCTCTCCACATTATCTTTCCTGAGTGGTGTTTTCTTTGGTGATTGCTTCCCTCCGCCACCTTAATTTTCAGAAGAACCGAAATAGTGACATCTGCACTGAGTTATTGTCGTATAAAACAGCTCAGAGGATCTAAAACTAAAATTGCTTTTTAGATATGAATGAAAAATTTTTTATAAGTCGTTGGGAGATCCTTGCTTTTGCCTAATATGGTAAGGGTAGTTGTCAAAAGTAACTACATATATATTTTATAGTTTACAGAAAAAACTAATACCCTGCATTCTCCCTGGAAATCTTCTAACCAGCAGTTTTACTTAGGTTCAAAACGATTTATAGTTGACCTTCATAATCACAGATGCCCAACAGTATTTGTCCATATCTCTCTTATGAATAACATTCTGCTTGAAGTCCAGTTGTTTGTGTATTTGTCTTATCTCTCCTACAGATTGCTGAGTCCTCAAGAGTGAGAACAAGAACTTACTCATGTCTGTATCTTCCACAGGACTCGTGTTTTATAGTACTAGGTTGTTTAATACAGTGTTTAAGTGAATTTATTAGGGGGAAAATAGCATTCCAAATTGTAAATTAGTAGGATTTGCATGAAATGGCTTTATCTTACTTGAACCTTTTTTAAGTTATTAATTCAGATGAAATGTGGATTACATTCTACACTCTCTTTACGCTTGCCGGCTCCCCAGGTACCCTTTGATCTTTCCTACTCAAGCAGCCTGGACCCTGGTCCATTAAAGTATTTCCACGATTGGACCATCTATTCCTGAACCAAGTAGGAGAGTTTCTACTTTGAATTCTCCTTCTGCATTTTAGAAATTAGGGGAATTCTGTCCTTATTGTAGATCACTTATGGATTATTAGATGGTACATCTGTCATTATGTCTATCCCGGTGTGATTGTGTTACAATAAAAATCGAATCAACACAAATTTGAGCACCTCAGTTTTCTTGCCTGTAAACTGGGAATTTTCCTCCTTAAAACTTCTGTGAGTATGAAGTATGTTAAAACTTTTGTGAGTATGAAGTATGTTAAAGTGACTAGGTTGAAATGATTGTATAAATAGCACAGAGGTTAATCATCGAAACTTGGACTTGGCTTATATGTGCACAATTCTCTTTCCTTCCAGTTTGGCTAAGATAGCTATTTTAAAGGCAACATTAATACTAACTAAAGGAAAAACGAAGCCCAAACAAGAAGTTGCAAAAGCATAGGATTAGACAGATTTTTAGAGGGCATACCCTTTCCCATCATGTAACTAAAATGTAGTCACAAGTTAGTTTTGCTGTACTTGCTTTTTGCTTTGTAAGTGTTTCCACTCATCTTCACCTGAGTTGTTTGGCTAGAGGCCAGTTCACTAGCTGATTGGTAGTAACCTCCCCTGCGGCACCTACATTAACACCTTGGAGACAGGACACTCATCAGGTCAGGGGCTTTTGTGTCTCATGCTGCTTCCTGTTCATGGCTGTGGAGTCCCCTGTTGCCTTTGTTTCTTCTTGATGCCTGGGTCTCCTTACAGTTTTGTTGTTGCTGTTAAAAACCACTCCTTCCAGGCTCTTATTTTAAACCTACTGAATCAGAATCTGTGAAGATGGAGCGTATTAGTGGGTATTAGCTAATTCCCCAAACTGAGTTTTGATGATTCTGATGCAAAGCCAGATTTGGGGCAGGGTTACCAGGTTACCAGGTTTGTCCTTTTTTCCATGCTGGAGCAGACATCAAGGCTTTTTTTCATTTGCAGAATAAGATGAGTGCAGTAGCTGAGCCCAGGGGGTCAAATGGGCTTGGTAACCTGAGTCTTCATCTTTCCTACTCAACCAGCCTAGGCCCTGAGTGTCCAAGACTGGCCACAACTCCTTTGAGCTTTTTTAAATTGAAGCTGTGTGACAACAGGAATATCAAATATATACCACACAAAATATTTCCTCCTTCCTGTGCCTATATCAGACAGTAGAATCTATTACAACTCCCTTTCTCATTATGCTCAGCTGGGGCATACAGTTTGTTGGGAAGAGAGAGAAGGTGGCAGTATCTCAGTAAGTGTTCACATGTACCTCCAGGCATAGATGGAGATAGATGATTTCTTGGAACTGATGTCTGCTTGGTTTTTTCCTGCAACATAGAGCCAGGTCAGCCTTCCCACAAAGCTTGGAGTGGCCTTCCCCAGACCCCAGCCTACCATTTCTCCCCCAAATTCTGTTTTTCTTTCCCAACATTATGTGGGCCCTTACAATTCTGAGGACTTCACAACCCAGGCAGGTCCTGGATCCTCTCTCTCCTGGGCTGACAGTCTTCCTCATCACCCCTCCTGACCTCTGAGGCCAGCTGTGTCAAGCCTTCTCCCAGGCCACTGTCATAGGGTTCTGTGCTGCTGGGAGGATTAGGGGTGGGCGTTGATTGAAGCCTGTGTTAGAGAAGTCTTCTAGGAGCCCAAGGAATTGTTGGAATTGCTGAATCCTTGTTTGCTGCTACTTTCCTGCAATTCCATTTCTGTACCTGTCCTAAGTTCTTAAGCTAATAATTCAGACATGAGTCCAGAGAAAATATGCTTGGTATTGCTCCTAAGTGGAATGGCAATATATAGAGGAGGTAGAATATTCTTTTAGATTGGTGGCTTATCTCATCATCATCACCAGCAACATGTCCTTCCAGTAGGATACTGGGAGACAAAGAGGGCAAAGCCTTTGGGTTTATCCACAGCATGTTTAAGATGAGTACTCGTAGGACAAGGCAGTTAATATTAGGTGCCAGCTGAGGGGTATGGGAAGAAACATAAAAACGAAGCTCTGATGTTGAAGAGAGAGTGAAGGTCCTCAGGCTGAGTGCCTGACAACCCCTCCCTGGGGTATCCCCGAGGAGTCTGCTGAGCCTGTAGAACATTCCATCAGGATGAGTGCAGAGTGGGGCCAGGGACTTCTAAGTGGAGGAAAGGGCAGAGCAAGCAGTACAAATTCAGGCAGGCAGCTGTTGGTGCACGTGAGCAGGAGTGCCTTGGTGTTGGAAATTGGGAGTGGTGGGGGTGGTGGTGGAGTGCATTGTTCCGTCCTGGGTGTAACCACTCAGCTACAACTGATGTTATGTGGAAGTGTGGATCCTATGTAGACATATAGTCAGGAGTATAGGTTTTTATATGGAAGCTTTTTAAAAAACACCACCCAGGCCAAACAAAACACCTGCAGGCCACATCCAGACCCCCAGCCACTGATTTGCCACTTGTGGCATAGAGATACAAGCAATATCTTGACTAGGGGTTCTGCAGTGTGGCTGGAGGGTCATAGGTTTGTGGAGAGAGTAGGGAGTGAGGCTAAAGATCTGTTGGGGGCCAGACTGGAAAGGACTTTGACTATTTTGCTGGGGAATCTGAAAGCTGTTCTTCAGTCTGGGACACTACTGCGTCCTACTACTGGGTTGTTTGAGGAGGGCAGTGGCATCTGATCTGTGCTTTGGGAAGATAATCCTGATGGCAGATGATGAGTATATTAGGCCATATGTCAAGGGACAGACATCATTAGATAAAGCTGTTTGGATAGGTGATTGGGCTTAAGGGGTTGGTTTGCAAAAGAAAGGTAAAGTGAAATGTTTGTGAAATGTTAGCTGTCTATCTGTTACCCAGAATTGGCCTAGCTAGACATTTGTATCACTGGGTATCTTCCAGCCTATCACTTTTGCTTTGTTTCGGAATAGCACTTTTTTTTATTATGGTAAAATATACATAGCATAAAATTACCATTTTAACCATTTGTAAAGTTGAAAACATTTTTTGTAGAGACGGGATCTTGCAGTGTTGCCCAGGTTGGCTTCAAATTCCCTTGCCTCAAGCAGTCCTCCTGCCTCCGCCTCCCAGATTGCTGGGATTATAGGTGTGAGCTACCCCCACTTTAACTATTTTTAAGTGTGTGATTCAGTGGCATTATATCCACTTATGTTGTTATGTTGTTGTTCAACTGTAACCATTGCTAGAGTTTTGATGTTTGTCCACCTCAAATCTCATGTTCCCCTAATATTAGAGGTGGGAGGTGTTTGGGTCATGGGGGCAGATTCCTCATGATGGCTTGGTCCCATCCTTGAGGTAGTGAGCCCTCACTCTACTAGATTCCATGAGATCTGGTTGTTAAAGAGAGCCTGTCATCTTCCCCTTGCCCTTTTTTGCATCCTGTCTTGGCATGTGATCTCTGCATATGCCAGCTGCCCTTCAACCTTCTGCCGTGAGTAGAAACAGCCTGAGGCCCTCATCAGAAGCAGTGTTGGTGCCGAGTTTCTGGTACAGACTGCAGAACCATGAGTGAAATAACCGTCTTTTCTTTTCTTTTTTCTTTTTTTTTTTTTTTTTGAGAAGGAGTCTTGCTCTGACACCAGGCACCAGGCTGGAGTGCAGTGGTGCAATCTCTGTTTGCTGCAACTTCTGCCTCCTGAGTTCAAGCAATTCTGCCTCAGCCTCCCGAGTAGCTGGGACTACAGGCACACGCCACTACACTCAGCTAATTTTTGTATTTTAGTAGAGATGGGGTTTCACTGTGTTGGCCAAGATGGTCTCAATCTCTTGACCTCGTGATCTGCCCACGTTGGCCTCCCAAAATGCTAGGATTACTGGCATGAGCCACCGTGCCCGGCCCCACCCTCTTTATAAATTACCCAGCCTTAGGTGTTCCTTTAGAGCAACACAAATGTGCTAAGACAACCACTCGGCCTCTTTAAAACTTTTAATTATCATCACAAGCTAAAACTCTGTACCCGTTCAACAATAACTCCTGGCCACATCCTCCCTCTTCCTTTGGTAATCTCTGTTTTAATTCTGTGTTATATAAGTGGAATCATGCAGTATTTGTCCTTTTGTGTTTTGCTTATTTCACTTTGAAAACAGCATAATTTTATAACTTATATCTTCAGGATTTGAAGTTAGATTCTTTAAATGAGAGTATGAAGCTAAAAAAAGGTTTGAAAACCACTGACTTTCTCAAACTGTAACCTTTCTCAACCTTACTTAAAACTTAACTTCTTGGATTTCTTACCAAGAACATTTGCTTTATGTCTTCTTGTTTGCCTTTATGTCTTTAGCACTTTAATCAGAGGACTTGATGAATGAATGAAGCTAAGAAATAACAGACCAGGCTAATTCCTGACAACACTCATGCATTGCTATGGTAGGATTGTGGGAAAAAGGATTTTTGAGGTCACCTCTCTGTGTGAGATGTTCATAGTGGTGCTGAGGGCAAGTTTCAGAGTTTCCATCGATTCCAGCAGCCAAGGAAGCTACTCTCAGGGCTCAGTTTTCCCTGAAGATTCAGATCTCAGATCTGCATGCCTCAAGGTGTCAAATTCTGGCTCTGCATGCTTTCTGCTGTGGAGAAAGTGTAATTTGATTTTGAGTTTTTGGATTGAAATTGCTGGTTGGAGACTTATTTTTTTTTCTTTTTTAATTTATATAAATGTAAGGGATATAGGTGCAATTTTGTTAAATATATTGCATAGTAGTGAACTTTGGGATTTTAGTGTCACTGTCACCTGAATAGTATACATTGTATCCATTAAGTCATTTTCTCATCATCCACCCTTCCCGGTATCCATTGTTTGCCGTTCCGTACTCTTTGTCCACGTGTACATATTATTTAGCTTCTACTTATAAGTAAGAATTTGCATATTTTCCTGTTTCTGAGTTGTTTCACTTAAGATAAGTTTTTTTGTTTTATTTTGGTTGAGAGAGGATCTCACTCTGTTGCCCAGGTTGTATTGCAGTGACGCAGTCACAGCTCACTACAGCCTTGACCTACTGGGCTCAAGCGATCGACCCTTCCAGGTTCAAGTGATTCTCCCAAGTAGCTGAACTAGAGGCACACGCCATCACACCTAGCTAGTTTTCTTTTTATGTTTTCTAGAGATGAGGTTTCACTATGTTGCCCAGGCTGATCTCAAACTCCTGGGCTCAAGTGATTATCCCACCTGGGCTTCCCAAAGTGCTGGGATTATAGGCATGAGCTGAGTGGATTCTATATGAGAAAAAAAAATTTCCTTAGGTTTAATGTAATTTTTCTGAAAAGAGTACTCAAGTGTCTTTTTAGAATTCTGCATCCAGGAAATAAGAACCTAGGTGTGATTTATTGGCTTAGTTATCAAACCCTTGTTTTGCTAATGTTGATAACATAATATTCAGTGACTCACAGAGATGGTAAGGATGTTAGAAGTCATTAAACTTAATCTCTAATCCTCACTTTCCGACCTCAGAGGTGTTAGGAAAGTTTATAATGCAGGTGGTGAATGTGACATAATGAGCAGTTTATAATAGATGTTTTGTAAAGACGTCAGAATAGTGACTGTTAATGTTAAAGTGGACCATGTCCACAAGAGAATCATCAGTGCAGTAAGGGGACTAAAACCAGGAACTGTGATGGTGAGTGCAGAAGAGAAGCATTTCAGAAGATGGAGCATAACATGCCATTAACTCTCTGGACAGCTATCCGGTAGTGGAATAATTTTTTTTTTTTTTTTTTTTTAATGTAGTGCTAAGAACAGAAATATTACTGTGGATTATTGGAGCTGCAAATGAATAAGAACTTTCTAAGACACGGATTGACATTAAGCTAAACAGGCTGCATTGAGACATAGAGAAGATTCTCATATTCATTGTGGTTAATGATATAAGTATAGTGAAATTCTTAATTACAAGGAACATTTATCCCCATTTTACCCATGGCCTTCGAGGGCAAGGACTGTGTTGTCCACAAGGCTGTACTTTGGAGCGTGCCTGCCACCTGTCAGGCTCTTGCTGATTTTTGATGAATGAAATTAAAATGATTTTAAACACTAGTTACATTTTTCCTGCTCTCCAGCTTTTATTGAGTAATATATGCATCTGATCTTCTTTAAAATGTTCATTTTTTTTCTTGAAAATATATTAGTTATATCTAAAATGTCCTTGCCTCATTTTTTTTCTTCTTTGTTTATCTCATGGATCGTTGAAAAGTGCTTACATTCAGTGTCAGCATATTAGTTGTAACCTTTTATTGCTATTGATATCTATAAGTACGTTAAGTAAATCTTCATTTTGCTGACCTCTTTGAGGATGCATGGCATCAGCAGATTCTCTCTTTCACTGGACAGGTGAGAGATTAGCAGGATCAAGTCAATTTTTCCCTTTTTGCTTTGTTTCTTTCAGAGCAGCAAGATTCATTGTCTAGCAAGAGGGAAACTGTGTTTAATGGCAGAATTTGTCTTAGTGGTAATGGTTTAAAGAGTGCATGTAAATTATACAGCTTGTTTACACAGGGTCTCATAGGTATCACTGCAGGAGATTCTTTTTAAAAAGCTGTTTTAGCAAGGCAATCATTTTAACTCAACCAGATTAATAGCATAATAATTAATAGCACAAGAGCGTTTCAGTATATAAATTGGCTTGTAGGTAACTTGAGATGGCAGTTTCCTCTTCCTTTCCGAGATCAGTGAGGCTGCTTTGCCAGATGGGTTTCCATTATTAACAAGGGAGAGAGTCTTCCAGGCCCTCACATGACAAGTTCCTGGGGTAATTTGTTTACCTGTTAACTCTTTGAGGGAAAGCAGCAGGATCTGCCTGCCAGGGTGTGAAGTTGCAGGGGGTGTGTGAAAGTCTGAGCACGTGGTCCTGTAAAGTGTAGTTGTAGATTTTCTTCCAAAAAGGCCACATGGGTGGTGGTAGGAACATAAGAACTCTTTCTTCTTGCAAATGATTGTTATTCTTTTATCATCTCTTCTGACCATTTTCTTTTTATGTGCTTTATAGGAAACTGGGTCCCTTGAAGAATCTACAGATGAGTCTGAGGTAAGGTGGTGACTCAGGAGCCTTTGCATTTGTAGCTTACCATATAGTTCTCTTGAGTTGTGCTGATTTGCTAAATGCAACATTCCCAGGGGCTGAGGGAGTAAAGCAGGGCTGTAGGTGACTGAGCCCTGGGGAAGAGCTTTTAGTATGCCAGTTATCTTAAAAGAGATTAAATGGATTAGCTTAAAAAATAAACAAGAGGCTGGGTGCGGTGGCTCACGCCTGTAATCCCAGCACTTTGGGAGCCCAAGGCGGACGGAGCACGAGGTCAAGAGATCGAGACCATCCTGGCCAACATGGTAAAACCCTGTCTCTACTAAAAATACAAAAAAAAAATTAGCTGGGTGTGGTGGTGCGTGCCTGTAGTCCCAGCTACTCGGGAGGCTGAGGCAGGAGAATTGCTTGAACCCAGGAGGCGGAGGTTGCAGTGAGCTGAGTTCGCGCCACTACACTCCAGCCTGGTGCCTGGTGACGGAGTGAGACTGTCTCAAAATAAATAAATAAATAAATAAATAAATAAATAAACAAGAAAAGGAACAAACACTTTTCATCGGGAACAATATTTTAACTTGAAACCTGTTGGCAGTGGGAATATTGATACAAAGTTTTAGAAATTTATCTCAACACTTTAACATCCTCCTTGCCTGCTTTTTAAAAACAGTCACTGTAGGTTTTATGATGTATATTCTTTATTTGTTCTTTTAATGAATGTGACATGTTTATTGGTATAATTTTTGAATCATTTAAATTGGAGTTTGTTTCTTAAAAAGGAAACTACCTTGAAAGTTGTTAGGTGTTGTGATAGTTTCTTAAGGAGAATAATATATAAGGAAGGACTTTTTAAAAATTTTATTTTCAAGTCTGCATAGGAAATGTTTAAACATAATATTAATTTTTTTTTTTTTTAAGGCCGAGTTTCACTCTTGTAGCCCAGCTAGAGTGCAACAGCACAATCTCAGCTCACTGCAACCTCCGTCTCCTGGATTCAAGCAATTCTCCAGCCTCAGGCTCCCAGGTAGCTGGGATAACAGGCGCCTGCCACCACACCAAGCTAATTTTTGTATTTTTAGTAAAGACAGGGTTTCACCATGTTGGCCAGGCTGTTCTCAAACTCTTGGCCTTAGGTGATCTGCCTGCCTTGGCCTCCCAAAGTGCTGGGATTACAGGCATGAGCCACCTGGGATTACAGGCGTGTGTGGCCCAAGCATAGTATAAATTAATTGGCTTATCAGTTTTATAGATGGACTCAGAAGAAGAAGTACGTTTTTCCTTTTAATATTTCATTTCACTCAGGAATGAAAATGTATCTGTGATAACCTGCTGGAAATACACACTGATATATCTCTAGCCATAAAAATCTATTACATTTGGGTTGATATTGCATAAGCTTATGTGAATTTTGTTGCTTTTCCAAGGACAAGTTGGGCTTATGCATATTTCTGTAGAGAACAGCTTATGTATCAGGCGTGTCCAATCCTTTGGCTTCCCTGGGCCACAGTGGAAGAAGAAGAATTGTTGGGCCACACATAAAATACACTAACAATAGCCGATGAGCTAAAAAAAAAAATTGCAACAAAAAAAATCACATAATGTTTTAAGAAAGTTTTTGAATTTATGTTGGGCTGCATTTAAAGCCATCCTAGGCCACATGTGGCCCATGGGCCACAGGTTGGACAAGCTTGTTATATATTATGTCATTGTGTAGTTATGGTTTCTAACATTTTCACTAATAAGACTTCCATAACTGTGGGACTCCTGGTAAGGTATTTCTGAGTTTGCCTATAGATAGGATATATTTGTTAATTTCTCATAAAGTATTGAAAAGCATTTTATGTTTCCTTAATTTTGGAAATCTATAGTTAACTGAGATTCCAGTGTTCTCAGAATCATTGATACAGAATCATACAGTGTTGGAACTCTGCCCAGGAATTTCATTTTACAGGTGAGGAAGGTGTTGGCAGCCACTTACATCTAAATCTTTCCACACATGCCCCAGATACAAAACAGCTCAACAAGAAAGCAAATAAAAGCACACACAACCCAGGCTTCCAGTATAATTAGCAAACAGGGAGTAATACAAACTTCAATGCAAATGGAGAAAGAAACATCCAAAGCCAGCAGAGTCGGCTCTGGAGTTGACACTGGAGCTGAGAGTCAGTTGGAGACTGGGTAGAAATGAAGAGAGCATAGCTGAGACCCAGCTGAGGCCGAAAGCAGATAAAAATCATTCTTAGTGAAAAGGGGGCCCCATTCTTAGTGGGGAAATATGAGAACAGATGTGAGACTTGGTGGATTTCGAGAATTTAAAGAAAGGAGCTTGAAAGTATGTGGGGCTTTAGGTGATAGAGTTGGATGGTGCTACTTTTGGGAGAGATGGGAGACATCCCTCAGAGGCTTGGCAGTGAAGGAAAAGGACAAAGCAGAGGAGATTAAGGGTGCCCAGAAACAAAGAACATCATCAGATCAGGAGACTTATCTACTCACCAAAAAAGATACCACTTAGAAAAGACAATGCAGAAACCTGGTAAACCACACAGATGCCTCTTGTCTTCTTCCCTAGTAGCATCTATTAATGCTATCTGAGAAAATTCAAGACATTTAAAAATGAATTGAAATGACAAGTAACATCCATAAAAAGCTGCTATAGGAAGAATTTAGAAAGCCAGAATCAGAGTTTTCAGCAGCAGAAAACAATAACCTAAAACTCCATCATGAGTTGAATATCTATATACAGGCATTTGCAGATAAAATAAATGACCTTAATGCTTTTTTTTTTTTTTTTTTT